ACAATTCCTCGAAGAGCACCCTGATGTGGCGCATGTGACATTACTGCGGTATTATTTAGAATGCTGCAAATTGACTGGAACCACTCGCCCACTACATGGTTCACAGGTTGACTGGTATTGAGGTACTCAAATTTTCTCAAAGCCGATGGGAAAAAGGCCTGCTACGTACAGAACAGCTCATGCATCTGCAAGCTATGTTCCAGTCTGTCACACGCTTAGAATTGCACGGCGTTCATTTTTCATTGATGGCGCTGTGTGACTCGGACAGCTTATCTCTTCCCTTCCCTACCTTACCAGCCTGGTCTGCTACAGAGTCCAGATGAGGCGCACTCCAGGATATCTGACTCCGCTTCAGCATGTCACTTTGACAGATCTGGAAATATATGCTAGCAGCGATGTCCTCGAGTTCTTGGTGTGTCTCGTCTTTTGGCACTATACTCAAGCACGTCGTCTTCAAGCTCTTGAGGGTTCACGAGGCCGATTTATGCACTGGTCGTATACAACGGCTGTTAAACACAACTCGTGGGTTTCTTTCTGAAATCGAGATCTGGTTCCATGATAGGTGCGTCACATAACAAGTATTAGATCTGCTCATCGCGCGCATCGATGTGATCTTCGTCCAAGCTACAGACCCATACTTGAACCTTCGCCTGGAATACTTTAACATCGAGGTTTTTTCGCTTATTTTTGACAGCCACGTCCCGTGGGCTCCATATTGGCGGTGTGTGTTTTATCTGTGCTGTCTCGATGCACACCCGAGCACTGCGAAATTCGTATCACCTTCCTTACAACTTCCCATCCTGCATTTTCGAATCTGACATTCGAAGAACTGCTGGCTGATGCCGACATAGACTACATGTACGGTTTGTTGATTTGGTGTGCACGCCTCCATTCGCGGGCCTGAAGAGTGTTGTTTTGGAACTCCAGGTACTCATCTGCCCTGAGGCATGACACGGACATCTTGCATTGCCTAGGTGACATACCACGGGAAGCGGACTGGTGCACAGCGCTCTTGGCGCATCTTCCACTCCTAAGCGCAAAGGAAATTCTGAAATGAGTGATCCCTCATCGTGTTCCAGTGAGACATCAGGGTTCTCATCGAATCCCTCTGCTTCAGGCCTCTGGTGACCGCTGAGGAGGAGCACCAGTAACAACCCCACAATATTCAGGCTCACGTATCTTGGCTTTCCTTTTGTACAGTAATTAGAGCATGTCGGTTTGACTGGTGCGGGCGCCTTGCAACTCGGGTTGTAACCGTTGTATCATTTACATCAATTTGACTCGGATCGGCAAGCGCGTGATTCCGAGACGCTCAGAATCCAGACCATCAAATTGCGGTCGGATGAGAATTTGCTATGGGATTTATGCTTGGCTTCCTTTTAGGTCCTCTCGACCGACCGCTTCGCACTCAAAGGTCGTTTTTAGGCTTTAAGGACTGCCTAGGGGAGACTAGGGCCTCTCACTGTTCACCATGGGCTTTGCTTTTTCAAAGACTTTCAGCCCCGACCAGCTCCCTAGCCTGGCTGGAAAAATCATCATTGTGACCGGTGGAAAGTACGTAGCTGGAAAGCGCGGCTCGCGTTCGGTATAACGTTCCACAGGATCTAAACCTCCCTAGTGCAGGTATTGGATTTGCGACTATACAACACCTCGCGCGGCGCGGTGCGAAAGTCTATCTGGGAGCGCGTAACAAGGAGCGTGCGCAGGCTGCAATAGAGCGACTACAAGCTGCTGGGCTGGGACCAGGGAACGGCGAAGTGGTGTGGTTGTCATTAGACTACTCAGATCCACGGATAGCAAAGAAGGCTGCGGAATCATTCATGGAACAGGAGACGAGGCTAGATGCTGTCGGTTCGTACATTCACAGTCTTCGTGGGCCTTGACTCAAACGCACTCAAGTGAACAGCGCTGCAATGTGAGGCTTTTTGAATATTTATAATGCGCATACCTGATCCACCCGACAAGGCTTCTCGTGCCATACTCCCGGACCCATGATGGTGCGAGAGTTATCCGGTCATGTTCGTTAGGTTTAAGCTCAGTTCAATCCACCTACTTTCCTAGACATCCAAGACCTCATGATGGTCAAGTATGTAGATCCCTATGTAGAACACTCGTGCTCGAGTTGCTGACTAGCCTCATGTACACGCAGCTACTTGAGTCCATTCGTGTTCATAAGAACATTGCTCCCCATATTAAAGGCGACCGCTCAAGAGCCCAGCAGTGATGTCCGCATCGTCAATGTCCGTATCGCTATTGATGCTCTCCTATAGCTTGACGATCTAATTTTTGAACATGTGCAGATGGCGTCTGATGGTCATAACCATGCCCCCAAAACCCGCTTCCGCAATGTGGATGATCTGAACGTGGAGTTTAAAGACTCGTGGCTCCCCAAATTCAACCGATATAGTACGCATATACGCTACTATCTCATGTGCTGGTCTGACCGTGACACAGCTCTCAGCAAGCTCATGGGTGTGCTCTACGTCAAGGAGTTGCAACGACGTCTGGACAAAGAAAGCATACCGATCATCGTCATGTCTGCCAATCCTGGCGAAACAAACACGGGTTCGTATCGTCGTTCACACCCAGGACCTCATGACTTTGACTGATTATTGTCACCCCCACCATTGTATAGAGGGCGTGCAGAATTATGCACACTCTGTTGGACCAATCATCGCGCCCATTTACAGCTTCATCGCCTCGACGTTACTTGGTCGTCCCTCGAGAGGAGCCTACGTCCCTGTTTTTGCAGCAGTGGCACCGGTCGTGCGCGCTGAGTCGCAAAAGTACCGTGGCGCCTACATCAAACCACCTGGACAACTGGGCAGCTGTAGCAAGCGAGGGCGGGATCCGGAATTGGCTAAGGAACTGTGGGACACGACGGAGAAGGTCCTGAGTGACATTGGTGTATAGGCCTATGCTTCGGAGTTGCTTTGTGATATCGGAAGTCGGAACTCATGGCTTTCAAGTATTTAATCTCTTCTTATCCTGCTTTATATTGTATGAAGCCGTTGAAGGCATAATCTAATCTCGAAAAAAACACATCATGTGCCGGGCGTAGGAACGCGTGCGAAAGGCTCATGTCGAGCCTACATGCCATGTCTCCGCATTGTGTGGATTATATTATACCCAATGTGTGATCGTAACTTGCCGCAATCGAAGCCTAGCTTTGGGTGACAAAAACCGTCCAAACTACACGCACTTACACTCCCGAGATGTGTACATCACGTTCATTCCGCAAAGAAATGGTCATGATGCACTAGAATACTCAATTTCATCTAGTCCCGATGCGAGAAACACCGGATTGCGAGAATTCTTAATTTCCTCCGCGAAATTGAGGAGACTGGCCATGTGAACGCCGATACGCGGGTCTTTGTGAGGGAGGGAGAAGGCGAGGCGCTCGACCCTCGGCGACGGTCTGCAGCTGCGCAGTCCTGGAGATAACATGTACACAGGCTGTGGCACTTAGATCAGCAGCAGATTAGTGGGCAAGATCGATGGTGGGGTCTCTGGGATGCGTCGAGATTCATCCTCAAGTGTTCTGAGTCCAACTCGGAAGAGCTCGAGTCTGAGCACGAATCCGATGAGTCCGCGCTGGGGTCCGGAGAGTCTGGAATTAGGACCGGCCGACTACGAAGGGGTATCGAAACGGATATGTAGCTGCTCTCAGAGACATCCGAGGCGGCCCCATCGCTTACATAACTAGGAGAAGATATTAGAGGTCGATATAGGGAAACGAAACATGGATGTTTAATCTTGCAGTAGATGTGTGGCATAGTTGCAGCGGCATGGTACGGCGATACAATCTCCGATGTGAAAGAACAAAGGAACACCCTTTAAGTTCAGGAAACCATTCAGACAGAAGGCGTACTATGTATCGATTTACATTGTCAATCGGTCACCAATACAAACCCTCTTGGGACAAAATTCCGACAACCGACGTAGTGGACCACAAGTGCAAGTTGTACAAGATACAGAGGATGCGTGAATCCAATCTCATTCACAAATGTGGGCCACCATTGTGCCAGAGTTAAACTAATCCACTCACACTGCCACACTGCATCTCGAGCTCTCGCTAGACGTTAGGTCCAGCCAAGCTGTAGTACTGCAACTTAAATCGCAAAAATCATCGACTTGGAGTTTATTCTTGTGTGGTTTGAAAATTATCATCAAAAAGTAGCAGTTAGGTAGGTGGGGATTGAGATTCCTGCTGAGCATGCATGATTGAAAGTCAGATAGGCCAAGGCAAGCGATGCAAAGGCCGAACCCTGTCACAGGTCACGTGAAATAGAAACGTCGCGGCGAGTCACGCCCTCGAAGTTACCGCGATGACGACATTGTCAAGTTCAATTTCAAGGCATGAGTCGCTGCGTGCAATTTATTCTAATATCCTACTTACTTGGCATGCGTATTATTCTGTCCGCCTCAACTGTTGCCATTAGCTCCGCTTCAATCGACTATGTCTACACTCCAACATGTTTCCGCAGAACGCAGCGACTTGTACCACCCACGCATAGTCGTAAACCATACGCAGCCGATGGGCACCCGGCCATATCGCGTTGACACCGACAGATTCATAAAGTTACCTTACGTTGCTCGTGCACATTACGCCCTAAGCATTGAACATCCCGCCGGATCCTCTGGATATTCCCACAAACGTAAAACTACGTGAGTGATGCCCAAGACAACTCACATATATATCTAACCAACGACAATGCATAGTCGGTCCTACAGTAGCATATAATATTCTGGGACCGCGATCGCGATGGAGTGATCTGGCCCCGGGACACATTCATCGGATTCCGTGACCTTGGGTTCAACGTGGTATTCTCTCTCTTCGCCGTCTTTGTCATTAATATATGCTTCTCCCTCCCGACACGGTGTGTCTGCCTCTTTCCTGTCTCTTTTATGTCGTACTCACCTCGCACATAGCCTCGCACATAGCTACTTCCCTGACCCATTCTCCCGTGTCTATCTCTCTGGTATACACCAAGACAAGCATGGTTCTGACTCAGGAGTATACGACACCGGAGAGTCCCCTGCCGCTTCGAGAATATCTTCGCCAGATAGTCCTTCAAGCAATTACCTACCGCTCCTGGAAAAACCCTTTCGCTACGCAAAATCACGCACCTGATGCATGGCCAGTCCGTCACTGTGGACCCGTATGGGTGATCCGCTGCAGCCTTGTTGTGGGACACGACTTGGCTCCTTTTGCAGGAGAATGGTTGCATCAATGAAGAGGACCTGAAGAAGCTGTACGACGGCCCGCTGTTTTATGAGATTAGGGAGAAGCGGAATGCCGAGGATGGATGGAGAGAGAGCTGGGGACTCGGAGGTGATGGACTTGTGGGAGACGTCAAGGTCTTGCCATTTAGTTTCTGAATCTTGAATGGTCTTCATCTTATTTCTATTTGCGTACGTACAAGAACTTTACATAACCCTGTACCCAAGCGCTGGCTAGCTTATCGGCATATACTCAAGGCTTTCATGCAGGTCATGACTTTACCCACTCGCACGCGTCAAGCATACAGTGTTTCGGTGATCCTTGGTCTCGTGCCCAGACGTGTCTTCGACACGTCTGGGGCAGAGACCCCCCCCTTCCAGAGGCGCCCACTGAGCGCCCTATGTAACGGTCACACTGGCCTTCTCGGCCCGTTGTAGTT